CTCGTATGCATGCATGATAATGAAGTCATGCTTTGCTATGACATGGAAGTATGATTATGATGAATGCCATGTTGCAATATGAATTGCATGACTTTAATAATGCTTGTGCTACATGTGAATGTATACCTATTGTGTGAATAATGGTATCGTAATGTGAGAATGGATACCTACTGTGTGAATGATGATATCATGATGACTTTTGTTCTTCCTTTTCCTTCTCCTTTGTTCATGTGTATAGGGAGGCCAATGTCTTGGTTGACTCTTTTGCCAAAGGAGACTCCTTCCTTTCTGAATCTATTGTTTCTGATTTTGTAATATCTTTCTAACTTAGTACAATTTCGGAAGTTCTACTAAAAAAAAAAGCTTCTTCCAATCGGTACTTCAATTACATAGGCCTCAATTGGGATCCACACTTATAAGCCAAAGTACCGAAACCTATCAGAAAATTGTGGAAACACATAAACCTTTCTGTACTTCCTTGAAGGTAAGGATAAAAGCAAGAAAATGCAATTGAGACATGGCTTACCATGACGACAGAAACACATGAATTAAGCATGTAAAAGCTAACTGTGTAGACGGTAAGAGATTGAAAGTAACTCTCCTTGATGAGAGAGGTGTCAGTGGTCAAGAGCCTGTCTGAGAGCATCACAAACCATTAAGAAAAGAAAAGGACCATTTGGATGATATATACAAGGATTTGAATATCACGAGGTGGAAGATATTGCATAACTAAATATGTGTCATAAGAATATTAAATAATGGAAAAAGTTTATATGATCGTGAGGCCTAAATTATCAAATTAAGGTGTGCCCTAAAAATTCACTAGAAGGGGTTATTTCGACGCTGAAAAATCTTCAAATCAGTTATCTCTACCTCAAGATATATGGACATGGGAAAAAATAGATTCAAGTATAAGAAAGAGTACATCTTGTAACATATTGTTTAGACCGTCAATATTCAAGTGTTCATAGATCTAATAGATCTACACTATGTTTCAACTTTAAATTTCATAATTAGACATAAAAATAAATTTTCTGGCCATCACATTGATTTTTTATACTGAAACATCATATTTCAGCACTATTTATAAGTGCCCCTTTGATTGATTAAGGCCTCTGCCTTATACAAATTACACCCTTAAAATATATAAAGTTGTGGTATCACACGGTGGCATTAAAGCAAAAGGTGTAGTTTGTATAGAGCGAAGGCTCTAAACCATCAAAGTAAAGTGTAACTTTATGTCAAAAGATGATGTTTTAGTACTGGACATCTTTGTGATGACCTAAAACTTTATTTCATCTTTAATCATAAAATTTAAAGCTTAAAAAATAATGTAGATTGAGTAGATCTACGAACACTTGGAAAACTTGAAAATTGACAGTCCAAAAATGCATTACAAGATACAACTATTTCCAAGATTTGAAATCTTTTTTTCCATGTCCATACATCTTAAGATTGAGGATGATCAATTTGAGGATTTTTTAGCATTGAAACAACTTCTTTTAGTGAATTTTTGAGGTGCGCCTTTAATTTGATTGTTTAGAGCCTCTCTTTTATATAAACGTTTTCTTAAGAATAATTGTTTCATGTGGGCTGGACCGCATTTGTACAATATGAGGTCCAGAGGTATAAAGCATCCATCTTAAAGATGGATGCAAATAGGTGGTCCATCTAAAAACAATTGCAACTAATGGTCCAAATGTTTTTTTAATACAATTATTATTTCTAGTTTTCAAACTGTATTTTTTTTTTCATATTCATGATCTCTATCTTAAAGATTATATTTCTAGGATCAAATTATATTTAAAAAATATATTTATTGCCAAGCCCGTATCTGCACATGTGCGGGCTTGGCCGCATGCCGCGCCTTTCCCTTAAAGGCATCAAAAGCTCTTGGAGGTACACGTCATGATCATAAGTCCGATATAAACAACTTGGAGGTCCTCCATGAGCACACATAACATAATGGTCCCTTAAATAAAACATTTGTTTCGGATCAACTAAAAAGTAAAACAGCAATTAGGAATCAAATAACAAGAACGCAGTGATTAAATAGTTCAACTGGTATGATTTGGTAAATTTCTTTTCATTTGTAATTTATATTTCCTTCACCGTTGCCCATGTATAAGTTTCATCAAAATTCGAACCAATAGATTTAGAATAAATTCTAGTTGGAACGCATAAAGAAAGTCCCAAATTATTTTCTCAGATCGGATGTTGGGATCCGTGGATTTTTCCGGAAAAGTCCATCCTGGAATTGAGAATTTCTAGAAATGTCAATTCTTTGTTTGGATGCATCCAGTATAAATAAAAAAATGCAAATTTTATATTCGGATTGTTTGGATTATCTTTTTTTAAAAAATACAAATTCTCTCTCTATCTCTCTAAAAATTTTGAGATAGTTTCTCTCTCTAAAAGTTTTTCTAAAATTTTAATACTCTCTTTCAAAACTTAAAATTTAAAATAGTTTTTCTTTCTAAAAATTTTGAGATAGTTTCTCTCTAAAAATTTTATCTACTTTCTTTCTAAAATTTGATATAGTTTCTCTATCTAAAATTTGAATATACTTTATCTCTCTAAAACTTAAAATTTGAGATGGTTTCTCTTTACAAAAATTTTGAGATAGTTTCTCTCTCTAAACAATTTCAAATTGTTTTTCTTTCTAAACAATTTCAGGTAGTTTATATCTCTAAAATATGATATAGTTTCTCTCTCTAAAATTTAAAAATACTTTCTCTATCTAAAACTTAAATTTGAAATAGTTTCTTTCTAAAAATTTTAAGATAGTTTCTCTATCTAAGAAATTTTAGGTACTTTCTCACTCTAAAATTGATATAGTTACTCGCTCTAAAATTTTAAGATGCTATATCTCTCTAAAACTTAAATTTTGAGATAATTTCTCTCTCTAAAATTTTCATGTAGTTTCTCTCACTAAAATTTTAATATACTTTCTCTCTCTAAAACTTAAAATTTGATATAGTTTTTCTATCTAAAATTTTTCAAATAGTTTCTCGCTCTAAAAATTTTAGGTACCTTCTTTATCTGAAATTTGCTAATGTTTCTCTCTCTAAAGTTTTAAGATATTATCTCTCTCTAAAACTTAAAATTTGATATAGTTCCTATCTAAAATTTTCAAATAGTTATTCGTTCTAAAATTTTAATATACTTTATCTCTCTAAGTGTTAAAATTTAAGATAATTTCTCTATCTAAAATTTTTTACATAGTTTCTCTTTCTAAACATTTCAAGTACTTTCTCTATCTAAAATATAGTTTCTCTCTCTAAAGTTTTAAGATATTTTCTCTCTCTAAAATTTAAAATTTGATATAGTTTCTTACTCTATAAATATTCTGATAGTTTTTCTATCTAAAATTTGATATAGTTTCTAATCTATAAAATTTTAATATGTTTTCCCTCTCTCTCACACAAACATAAAATTTGAGATAATTTCTCTTTTCTCTCTAAAAATTTTAAGTAGTTCCTCTCTCTAAAATTTAATGTAGTTTCATATCTAAAATTTTAAGATATTTTCTCTCTCTAAAATTTAAATATGTTCTCCCTAAAACTTTAAATTTGAGATAGTTTCTCTCTCTAAAAATTTGAGGTAGTTTCTCTCACTAAAAAAATTTGTATATTTTCTCTCTCTAAAAAATTTCGTATACCTTTTTCTCTAAAATTTGATATAGTTTCCTTATCTAAAATTTTAATGTGTTTTCTCTCTTTAAAATTTGATATAGTTTCTCTCTCTAAAAGTTGAATACATTTTTCGTTCTTCAACAGCAAAATGGATCATTTCCATGAAATATCAATTCCGCCTATTTTGGTGGAATTGAGATTTCCAAAATTTCAGTTTAAAATGAGCATTCAGGAATCCAACATAAATCTCAATTCCAACGAAAATGTCAATTCTAAACGAACCAAACACAATTGACCAAGTTTTTTCAAAAAAAGTAACTCCTGAAAATCTAAATCCAATGAGCCAAACGAGCCCTAAAATCTAAATCCAATGAGCCAAACGAGCCCTTAGTTGCTTCCGTTTACGTTAACATATTTTTTAAAATTTTTGGAGGAAAATTTTGTATGTTGCGCCAGAGCCTCATTTTTAGTCGTCCAATCAAAATGAACTCACCTAACACTGTGCACTTTTATATCAAATTGAAAGGGGAGTGCCCTCGCCTTATTGGAGCAAACCTATTATTAAAATAACGATATAAATAGCTCTTGAATTTTTAAGGGTATTTTGGTCATTATCAAAAATACCTATTTTTTATTTTTATTAAGTGCCTCCTAAGTTGGAATTCTCCAAATTTCACTACAAAATTATTTATAAAATACAATGCTTTGAGCCGCATAAAGAAGATCAGACGCTCAAATAGTAACTAGTGACGACTTGCAGGCAGTTATTACAACCATCTATTCAAATCAAAATGATTGGGAATGGGAGTGTTTCACTTTTATATACAGGGTAGTTTCCCAGTTTTGGATGTCAAATCTTTAGAAACTCAAAACTATTTTGTTTTCTCTAAATACTCATCTAAAGTGGATCCCAAAATTTTACAGCGATAAAATACCATATGGATCATTTCCTCATGGGGTAAGTGCACAGTGTGCTCTCACTCGAGATGCAGGATACACAACCATTATTTAAATTAAAATAGAAAATCAAGTGGTAAAATGACGCCAAAATATATTGATCCATCTTTCCTATCTTTAGATGTTGTCCCAGCCACTCTCATTCAATATGAAATTCAATCATGAAGTTAGGAAAAGAGCCCGGGTTTAATTGGTTAGCGTTTGAAGGTTTGCAATGCTATATCCTATGCTCAATTTTTACAAGGGCAAAGGCCCTCTCCCCCACTGACTCGTCCAAAAAAAAATCAATCACCAAGTCATTGACCATTTATTAAAAAAAAAAAACAAACATCAGGGGGTGCGTATGCATGATAGGGCTATGGTACATGTTTGGCGCTTGCTAGTGATGTTTGGATTAGAGAAGGCTTATTTTCTTACTTCCTTTCTTTATAAAGAAAAAAGAAATTTGGGTAAGTTCACTTAAACAAAGCATGATTGACAAATTAAAGAAGGGCCACCTTAAGAAGGCAAGCTCTCAATTTTCATCTTGGAAAATGCCCTGAAATGTGTGTGTATATGAAGGTAAGCATTGTTTTCAGGTGTGAATATTAGAGCCTTACATTAGAAGAAGACACAGTCAAGGAACAAGAAATGTTGAGGTTGGTAGCTCTCTCAACAAAAGACAGAGGACAAAGGAACAAGTTTCGAATTGAGAGGGCAGCTCCATTCTCACTTCAATTCTTAGTTATCACCAGTAGTAGCAGCAGTATAAAGCTGGACCTCCCTGCCATTAAGGGATTGAAGGGGCCTGGAATTTTGGAGGTACCCCTTCTCCAAAGGAGCCTTCAGTGCAATCTCTTGCTCCTTAGAGAATTCCCTCACCTACATTCATCCATGCACATCATCAGTGTAAAATGGTAAAAATTAACCCCCTTTGATACTCTTAGATCTAGTTTAACAAGGATGTGAACGCTGTTTGCATTGGCTCAATAAAATCTTGAAAACTTACTGAGATTTTATCATTTTGGGTATTTTTTTTTTTTTTTTTTTTTTTTTTTGAAAATCTTGTTTGCAAAGTAAATAGAAAATCTCTAAAATTAGCATGTCTAAATTGTTTTTTGAGGATGAAAATTTTGCTGGTCATAACCATAGTTACCAGGAGCGGGAGTGGGAGCGGTGCCTGTTCCGGTAGCGGGAGCGTGGGATCGATGGCAGCTCGAAGCTTCGGAGCTCTGAGAGCGAGATCCGGTGAGGGTAAAAGTCACGGATCGAGATCCCGTTTGAACAAGGAGGGAGATCCCGATACATTGGGATCGAGATCCCTATTTAAATGGAACACGTTTCATGTATTTACGAAACGAGCTCCAATTTGAATAAGGAGCGAGATCTTGAGATACTGGGATCGAGATCCCTATTTGTCAGGAACCCGTTACATGTAAAATGGGATCGCGCTCCCATGTCTATTAGGATCGCGCTCCCATCGACAACAAGAATGAGATCCCATTTAACGATGAGTCTCCCTCCCATTTAAACAATATCGCGATCCTATTTGGATAGGATTGAGCTCTATTCATTGTAGGATCGCGTTTCACATAATAATGGTTCGTGCCCCCGTCGCAAAACTCCACTTATATGAAGAATCCAATACCATTACATATGACTTCTTGCACCAACTAAGCATAGCAGCCCGTTCCTATACAAATGCAATCTCAATTTGGTTACATTTATACACAAATGTTCTATCCATCAATGGCCCATGCAGCTAGATCTATGCACAACCAACCCTAGATGTCCATGGATTAATTAAATCACATTATTCTAGTATGAAATAAAGTCTTCTAATGCTATGATTAGTTAATGTTAATATTATTCAAATTTGCATACATGATACGAAAATGAGCTTTACGTTGGAAATATATTGCCTAGAATTTGGGTTCTATTTGGATGAAGCCTAAACATATATGGTTACTGTTATGCTTAAATT